GCTACAGCGCCACTTCCGGTTTTCTAGTGGTTTATTGGAGATAGGAGTCTCAAGGACTTTCCTGCCCGGGCTGGCTTTGAACCGTGATCCTCAGATCTTAGCCTCCTGAGTAAGCTAGGATTACAGGCGTGAGCTATATTTATGTAAATGTCCATTTGTCTAAAAGTTTAGAAGTCATACTGCTGTGTGAGCACTGTGAAACAGGAAAATACTTGTTTTCCTAACATTAAAAGCAATAAGTACTAGATTCTAGCCTTTTTGCATATTGAGATATCCTTCCTTTTTTAAAAATATGCTTTGTGCCTGCTTCTATAAAATAAAAGTAATGACATTTAATAATCTTCATGTCTTTGTGAAATTTAATGGAATAATAAAACTAATCATTTGTAGCTTAACTTGTGAAACACCAAGTTTAGAGAAATCCAAGCAACTTTAAATGTGTTCATTCATTCCTTTATTGTTCATCAAGCCTTTACTTAGTATTTATTTCCTTTTGGGCACAAGTTCTTAGTCTTTGTTTGAGTATGTAAGTTTTTCATCCTTGTAATAAGAGTGATGATTTTAAGATTAGCAGTTAATAGCAATTTAGATCCATCAACATAATACATACATTCTTTAAATACATTTTATCAATCACTAGGTTAAAATACTTAATAATTCAAAATTGCGATAATTAAATTTAACTGGGAACCTATGGCTCATGCTTATAATTCTAGCTACTCTGGTGGTTGAGACCTGGAAAGCCTTTTTTGTTTGTTGGTTGGTTGGTTGTGGGTCCTGAACTCTGGGCCTGGGTGCTGTCCCTGAGCTCTTCAGCTCAAAGTAAGTGCTCTACCACTTGAGCCACAGCACCATTTCCAGTTTTCTGTGATTTATTGGAGATAAGAGTTTCATGGATGTTCCTACCCAGGCCAGCTTTGAACTGTGTTCCTCGGATCTTGCCTCCTGAGTAGCTAGGATTGCAGGTGTGAGCTACCACACCCAGGTGAGACCTGGAAAGTCTTGTTTAGAGCCAGCTGAGGCTCTAAACTCCATCTCCAATTAACCAGCAAAGTGCCACAGAGTGCTAGGTGCTGGCGGCTCATGTCTGTAATCCTAGCTACTTAGGAGACTAAGATCTGAGAATCACAGGTTGAACCTAGCCCAGGCAGGAAAGTCCATGAGATCTTATCTCTGATTAACCACCAGAAAACTAGAAGTGGAACCTGTGCTCAAAGTGTAGAATGCTAGCCTTGAACAGAAAAGCTCTGGGATAGTGCCCAGGTCTTGAGTTTAAGCCCCATAAGCAACCAAAAAAAAAAGCCACAGAGCACAATACCCTGAGTTCCTGAGTTCATGCTGATACTGGTACAAAAAACATGATTTTTTTAAAGAATATTAATATGGTAATACAATATGCCAACTATATCCTACATTATGAGTAAAAGTAGTCTAGGTATTCTGATTATTCCAACAGCATACAAAATATACAAGAAGACAAAGTAAATCTGATTTTCTTCTATTTATAACCCATTTATTCTAGGCTATGAAAAATATAATACCATGAGGGCAGATCCAGCCTTGTGCTTCCTGGAAAAGGCTGGCCGGCCAGATGACAAAGCCATTGCCGCAGAACATCGAGTGTTAGATAATTTCTCTGACATAGTAGAAGGGTAAGCATTGATGTTTACTTCACTTAAATTTCTGTGAAGTTGCTTTTGCTAAGAGATAGCATAACTATAGCATTGACTGAATCCATTGGGATTTTTTTTTGGGGGGGGGGAGGGTCTGGTCATGGGGCCTGAACTCTGGGCCTGGGTGCTGTCCCTCAGCGCTTCAGCTCAAGGCTAGTGCTCTACCACTTGAGCCACAGGGCCACTTCTGGCTTTTTTCTTTTTGCTTATGTGGTGCTAAGGAATCGAACCCAGGGCCTCAGGCATGCAAGGCAAGCGCTCTACCACTGAGCCACCTTCCCAGCCCTCAGAGAGATTTATTTAGGAAGTCTTTTAAGTAAGAGAGGGGATCTCTATGAACTAGAGTAAAGGGAATCATAGCTTTGAGGGAAATTAATTTGACACAGGCTTTTGGAAGACTGATTTTTAGACCTGAACTTTATTGAAAAGTTGCTCAAATGACACCTGGATATTATGAGCCTTATTAAGTTAAAATGAGAAAGGAATGATAGCTAGGTATGGTTGTACTGTACTTATAATCTCAGTCCTTGGAAAGCTGAAGCCAGAAGGATTGTAAATTCAAGGCTACATGAGACCTAGCCTAAAAACAAAACAAAAACCAGAAATCTTTGATACTGAAATTAAATTGCTTTTTGTTTTATAGAAGGAAATCTTAATTTTTCTTTTCACTTTTTAACTTTACCAACTGGTCATTTAGTAATCAAAGGAAGAAAAGTTTTCTAAGTGAGTATGTGGTAGAAGTAACAGGATTTTGCCCTTGTGATGAATTGTCATGCTAATATGAAGTAGTGGTTCTGGAGTTTTAAAACTATATTGGGTATTCTGATGAACTCTTTATAGATCTGCCTGAGGGATACTAGATCAAGAAAGAAATCAAATCCTTAACTGTATATCTGATATCTACCTTAATCAGATAGCTTTCCTGCTTACCATTATTGAGCCATTGGAAAGCTTAACCTTTACTTTAAAAAACATTCCTTGTGATGTCTTTGGGTGGATGGGTTTTGTTCCTAGGAGGAAGGATTAAAGTTAACATTCCAGAAGCACAAACTGATGGCTAATGGCGTAATGGGAGATGGCCATCCACTGTTTCATAAGAAGAAGGGGAACAGAAAGAAGCTAATAGAGGTAAGTGGTAGAGAAACTCTAACCTTATGATTTAGATAAGATCGTTTTATCCCTAGTAATTGGTGAAGACAGTTGGGATCAGGGGACTGAATTATCTCATGGCTCATTATACCATTGGCTCTGTTCCCCCTCCCTCCTTGCCCCAAAGAAGAGTATATGCTCATGGGGGTGGATTCTGGGTTTGCAGCTGGAGGTGGAGTGCATGGAAGAGCCTAATCACCTTGATGTGGACCTGGAGACCCGGATCCCCGTCATCAATAAGGTGGATGGTACTTTGCTGGTGGGTGAGGATGCCCCTCGCCGGGCTGAACTGGAGATGTGGTTACAGGGTCATCCAGAGTTTGCTGTCGATCCCCGATTTCTAGCGGTGAGTGGCAGTTCCATCCAGCCAGATTTAAAATCTTTCTCTTGGTATTTAAGCTATCTGAGGTATTTAAGCTATATAAGGTAGAAAAAGCATGCCCTGCCTCTGCAAAATAAGGGTAATAATACCCAACCTTCCTAACTCACACAATTATTGTGAGGATGAAATAAAATAATCCTAAAGCATTATTAAATGCTAGGAAAATATATACTATTAAACTATTACATAAGCCACCTAATTTTTTCAGGAGAACTACTTAATCACTATTTTCCATTAGGACTAGTCTTTATACAATAAGCATTTTTTTTTTCAGAAGACTTTAGTACCTTAATAACTAGTCCAGTGGCTTCTCTTCTCTAGGGTAACTGATACTTTTCTATTGTAGTATATGGAGGAGCGCAGAAAACAGAAGTGGCAGAGATGTAAAAAGAATAATAAGGCAGAATTGAACTGTTTGGGAGTGGAACCAGTACAGACAGCTAACTCTAGGAATGGGAAGAAGGTGAGACTACATCATTCTTCTTATACTAGCTATCCTATTATTAGGCTTTTAACAGTGATTGTGACTGCCATCTTTTTTTTTTTTAATGCATGTTTTTTAAGAAAATTACTTCCATGCCGGGCGCTGGTGGCTCACGCCTGTAATCCTAGCTACTCAGGAGGCTGAGATCTGAGGATCGCGGTTCAAAGCCAGCCCGGGCTGGAGAGACCGTGAGACTCCTATCTCCAAGAAACCACCAGAAAACCGGAAGTGGCGCTGTAGCTCAAGTGGTAGAGCGCTCGCCTTGAGCTGAAGAGCTGAGGG